ATTTGGGTTTGACGTACAGAATTTGATTATCATGGTTCCCATACAGTAATCCTGGAAGAGGTGTGAAGTCAGTATGGAAACCCTCATGGCTACGACTGCAACATACACTTCATGTTACTGTTAAGAAAGAAGCTGCTCCTCCACACCCCAGAGCACTGCTGGTCATAGTACCTAAGTGAATGGGTCACTTGGGGATCATGTTGCTGTCTGGAGTGATTGAAAGCTTCCTCATCTCTGCAGTGCTTAGAAGTAGCATGGTCTCAGGGTCATGAAATGACATTAAGCTGGCAGTGATGCACCTTTCTGGAGAACAGTTCTGCATATCTGTCAGTAGCTCTGGAGGGTGTCATTGGTTTACACGTACCTCATTACAGGGTTTCAAGAATAGTGACCTTAAGGTTCCAAAGGGAACAGGTTGGTTTGTTTACTGAGATAGCCAGACATACACGAAAGCTTTCTATTTTAAAAAACTTAGGATATGCAAAGGGTATAAGGTAACCAGTTTTACTTAGTTGAATGTATGGGCTCAGTGTGTTTGCATAAAACCTAATAAAATCATTAGCAATTCAACGTAAGTGGTCTTACATAAACTACATGTTTAAAGTTTCAAGTGACATGAGACTCCTCTTGCTGAGTTTTGTTTTAACATGGAAACTGCTTTCTGCAGTAATCACACTTTAGAAAATAAAAAATACATCAAAAACGAGAAGAAAAAAAACTCACCAGTATACAGATAATGTAATATTCTAATATACTACCAATAGAAAAATTGTATTTTCTGTATTTTTGTGTTATTCTATGGGTATGTGTTTGTGTGTGTGGGTGTACTTACACACATATATATATCTAGGAATCCAAACCACAGTCTTCCTGGTTGCACAGCAAACACTCTATCCCATAATTGACTTACTACTTTAGTTTTGTAGTATTGAACTCAGGCCTGGAAAGAAATGTTTCACGAGATCACAGTTCTGCAGTAGCTGCATTGACTTTTTGTTTTTAAAGTAGTGGTCAGATAAGATCAAATAGTGGCAGAGGAGTTTTAAACAAACAAGAGGTCAGGAAGATGGTTCAGCAGGTAACAGCACTTGTCACCAAGCCTGAGAACCTTAGGTCATTGTCCTCTGAACTTTTACAAACCCTGGTGCATGTGCAGCTGTCGTGTACAACCATATATGTATAGACATAAATATATTGTGTATAATATGTTTTACACGAAACATACCATCTAAAAACAAAACAAAACTCCCAAACAAAGCAGAAAGGAAGGAGGGAAAGGGGGCTAGGTTCCCTACAACTGCATTAATAGGTAACCAGATCAGGACCGGGAGCAGCGGTTAAGCTGATGCCCTTTGCTCTCTCTGACCCAATGTAAACTGTAATGTCAAAAACATTTGGGGCTCTGGTCTTGGGCAACTGGGATTGTGCCCTTTTCTTTACTCCTAGAAGTGAGAAAAGGAACATTGGTTGATTTGTAATCAAAGCTGTTTTGAGTTGTTTGTAAATATGTTAAAAATCTCAACTCAGATTTTTTTTCCCCTCCAGTGTTTGGCATTTAGTGGTTTCTAAGATCAAATCCTCATTTTGCTCCTTCCATAATCTTGAAGAGCTCCGAAGTTCCCAGAGATGCTGGTAGTGCAGTGCTTTTTCAGATTTGCTTAGAAAGGTGTCATCTGGGACCCGTGATCTCTGGATATTTTTGAGGGACATGAAAGACTATCAGCAGACATTTCTCTCCCCTTTATGCTATCTGAATCTCCACGAGTAATTCTCCCTCTTTTTAACACTTTTCTAGTGTGTGTGTGTGTGTGTGTGTATAATTTTTTTCTAGAAAAAATTCCAGTCTGGAACACTAAACTATGCTATTAATGTTTTATTTAATCTCTGTGAGTTCAGAACCAGACTGGTTTACAAAACAAGTCCCAGGACAGCTAGGGCTACACAGAGAAAACCTGTCTCAAGAAACCGAGAAGAGAGGGTGGAGGAGGAGGGATTTTTTCTTTTAAGATTAAGATGATAATGTGTTAGAATTATAATGAAAATACTTGAAGTGGAAACCTCATGAATGACTATGCAACTTGGGAACGCTTCCTGGTAGTGGATTATAGTCAGCCATCATTAGAATAAGAATAAATATTAAAAAAAAAACAAGTAAAAACTGAATTAAAATGAACCAGTTTCTCCTGCTTGGATACGATGGCCAACAAGTGAAATCTAAGAGAAGAATAGTGGATGGTGCTCATGCAGAGAAGTAATTCCACATTAGGACTGTACCTAATATTCCAGCCACTCACTGGGAAATGTCTTATTGATCAGTCTGGCAGGGTTGGAGGTATGGATTCTCTTCCTGACAACATTCTTCATTCCTGCATGATCTTATGTATTTAAATTCTGGGATACTGTAAGGAGACATTTATTCACACCTCTCTGCCTCACTGCTGTGCATGAGTAAAGGAATCACCCTTAGTGAACCTTTCATTGTAGACAGACATTTCTCTCCCACCAGCCAGTTCCCTGATAGTCACTACTATTAACTAGCTCTTAAATTAGCCCACATTTCTTATTTACACTCTGCCACATGGCAGTAGCTTTATTAGCATGGCACGTTCATCTCCTGCTCCCTCTGCTCCCTCTCCATCTGGCTCACACCTCTCTGACCCCACCCTTATTCCTCCCAGAATTCTGTGTCAGGATGTCTCGCTCAATCTCTTCTTGACCAGCTACCAGCTGATCAACTTTTTATTAGCAATGAAAGCAATGCATATTTATAGTGTACAAAGATCCTTCCACAGCAGTTCATCCCTGAAGCCCTCAAAATAAATGAATTACTCTTGAGTTGTGTTGTTAAATCAAAATGAGCTTTTGGAGAATGCCCAGGTAAGGCACAAATCAAACTCCCCTCCAATTTTAGGCAGAGTAATATGGAATTCATTGGAATGACTTACAGCTGCAGTCCAGCTAATTCAACAATGAATGGCTGTGAATGGAAAGTCTGTGAATCCTGTAGTTTCTTAGTCCACAGGCTGGAACGTCTCAGCTGGTCTTCAATATGAGCTGGGATCCTGAAGAAGTGAGCTCTAACGCCAGTGAAGGAACGGATGTTTTATCAAGGTTAAGAGCTAGCAGGCAAAGAGCAAAAACTTCCTTCTATGTCGTTACATAGACTTCCAGTAGAAGTATGACCCAGAGTAAAGGTGTGTCTTCCCACCTCAAAATTTGAATTATAGGTGTGTATCTTTCTGCCTCAAGATCCCAATTAAAGGTATGTGACTCCTATCTCAAAGGTCCTGAGTAGAAGTGGATTTAACCACTTCAAACCAAGCCAAAAAAATATTTCACAGGTGTACCCTCTATTTCTGGATTATAGTTTATTCCAGATGTAGTCAAGATGACAACCAAGAAGAGCCATCACACATACCCTCAACCACCCTATTTTTCTCATTTTGTTTTTATTTTATGTGTATGGGTGTTTGCCTGCATGTGCGCCTGTGCACCACCTGTGTACCTGGTGCTGCAGATGCCAGAAAGGGCATCAGATTCTCTGGAACTGGAACTACAGATAGTTGGGAGTCATCACGTGAGTACTTAGACTCTTTCCCTGGAAGAACAGCCAATGTTCCTGACCATGGACCCATCTCTTCAGCCCCATAATGCAATTTTAAATATGATTGTGTTGAAATTTCCCATCTTGGTCACTGTTTTCCATTCGTCTGATTTATCATTTGCTCCCTTGCTCCTCTGTTCCTGCTGTGGCAAATTTTATTCCCAAAGGATTGCAGAAGTGTTATGGAATCTTACTTTAACTATGTAAAAGTGTGCTGCGTTTGTTTGTCCTGCATTTGTTTACCTCTGCAAAGATTGTTGCTATTTCATCTTGCTTGCCGAAGGCACCTGATTGCTCTAATTATAAGCTGAACAGCCAATAGCTAAGGAGAGGAGGGATAGGCGGGGCTGGCAGCCAGAGAGAAGAAGAAGGAGGAGGAATCTAGGCTTGAGAGAAGAGAATGAGAGAGAAAGAGAGGGAGATGCCCAGGGCCAGCTAGCCAGGCACCTGCTAGCCAGACAAGGAGGAAGCAGGAAAGTAGGGCATATAGAATGAAAGAAAGGTAAAAAGCTCTGAGGCAAAACAGGTGAAGAGCCGGGCAGTGGCGGCACACGCTTTTAATCTCAGCACTCGGGAGGCAGAGGCAGGTGGATCTCTGTGAGTTCGAGGCCAGCCTGGTCTACAAGAGTTAGTTCTAGGACAGGCTCCAAAGCTACAGAGAAACCCTGTCTCGAAAAACAAAACAGGCGAAGAGGAACAGGCTAAAATGAGTTACAAGAGCTAGTAGGAGAAGCCTAAACTAAGGCCGAGCATTACCGACAGTCTAAGAAAGCTCGCTACACAAAAGTGCATACGCATATTCCATCCCTTCCTCCTTTCTCCCATTGATATTTACTTTACTCTCAAAAAAGTCTCTCTCCTCCCCACTTGAATTCTAATGGAGGCGTATGCCTTCTCTGACACATATGAAACGACTGAAATAATAGCTTCCAGCTGCTTCTGTCTCTTGCCCTTCCAACTGTGATTTGAGGAAACACAAACAGGCTCCGGAAGCGGTGTCTCCAGCTCTGTATTGACTCCAGGACACATGCACGAGTGAATCTCAGATGATTATATTCCCTTGCCTTCGAGACTTCCATTTGAAATAACACACCGTCCTACACAGACCATCTCCTTTTGTTGTTGTTTTTCTGAGACAGGATCTCCCTATGTAGCCCAGGCTGCCTTTAACTTCACTCCTGCCTCAGTCTCCCTAGTGCTTGCTGCCCGCGAGCTCACCACCACATCCCAGCAAAGGAGATGGTTTCAGAGGACAGGTGCTGTGCAAGACAAGCTTGGGGCCTTTCCACAGTAGCGGCCCCGCCGCTTTTATTTTTAGGCGTCTTTATCTCAGGCATCTATCCAAAGTTCAAGTTCCAAGGTCTTCTTAGGCACCTCTCTCTTTTCAGCCAACTTAGGCCAGGTTGAGGAGTGAGCTATAAAGACACATTCCCCAGCTCTGACTGGATGGGCTGCATTAGTTAAACTCCTAAGTTGTTGGAGCTTTGGATTGAGAGCCGGCGGGAAGGCCTGTGCATCTGTGCTGACCCTGAACGCCTCTCCCTTTCAGCTCATTGCTGCTCCACCACTGTAAGTGATTTACTGCCTGTACCTTTTCTATGTCACTGTTCTTTAAGGAAATCCCTCTGGTGTCTGGCAGCTCTCATATCTATTCTCTTCTAGCTCCTGGGCTCTTGATAGATACTATAAATTATCATTATCTTTCTGCAGAAAACCCTATATTATTTGAAGCCCAGTGATATAAGAAACATACTTATCATATTTCTACCTATTTGCCATATTTTTATATAAACTTCATAAAACAGTTACTTTTATTTTTGAACAGTTAATAAACTTTAAACTACTTTAAGCTCTCTTTCTCTCTCTCTCTTTCTCTCTCCCTCTCTCTCTCTCTCACACACACACACACAGATAAAATTAAGGGATGACATTTTGAAAAGGGCTTTTATAATTACCCAGATAATAAAGCATTCTTGCTCCTCATTTCTCAGAGGCATTAAGTTGTCTGTGTGGAATAACATCCCTTACATAGTGTATTTCTTGAAATATAATTTACTACAGGTACATTTTCTCCTTTTCACTCTGGAAATGTCTGTCTTTTGCCTTTTGATGTGTATATTTGTTAGGTGAGGGGTTTCAGACATTTCGCTTTATTTATTTATTTATTTATTTATTTCTCTTTCCTTTTGAGCACCGAGGGTGTGTTGTCTCCTGATTGTTAGTCTGTGTTTGTTCCTTTCCTCTGTAACATTGCCACTTTTCTCTGGCTATATTAACACTTGCTGTGTGTGTTACCAGTTTGACTACAATGACAGCTGGGCTTTTGCTGGTTTCATCCCTGTGTTTATTACATTTCTTGTGACTGCGGCACGGTGCTTTTCAATGAACTGAGGGAATTTCAGCCCTAGTCGTTGTGAGCATTCCTCCCTGTGCCTATCTCTAATATGTCTTTCTAAGGTGCCAATTGTTAGAGAATTTATACTGTATAGTAAGCCATATATATTAAAACGTATCCATGTCTCAAGTGCTCTAATCTTTCATCTTGATTTTTCTCTGCATAGTTTAGTTTGAGCTGTTCTTATGTCTGTGGGCTCCTTTCTATTTGCTGTCTGATGAGTCCAACATCTGACTACTTCTCTTTCTATAATAGTGGTTCTTACCTCTTGTAATCATGAGTTTTTAAACTTTTATGTATAATAATAAAAAAGGGTCCTGGATGTATTGTATAAAAATAATATCTAAAAAAAAAAGAGAGAGGGCCAGTGATATTGCTCAGTGGGGAAAATCACTTGCTGCCAAAACTGACAAGCTGAGCTTTGTCTCTGAAAGAAGAAAGTTGACTCCCGTCAGTTCTCTCTCTCTCTCTCTCTCTCTCTCTCTCTCTCTCTCTCTCTCTCTCTCACACACACACACACACACACACACACTCACACTCACACACACAATAAATATAATAAAAGAGCTTGGCCGTGTTCTGTTGGGATTTGGGACTGATCACTCTGATCTGAGCCAAGTGTGTGTTGGCTCTGGGACCTGTGGCACACTTACTGAGTCAAGCGCACACACTGACTTCACCAATTTTCGATGGTGGGTTGAAGCCTTTTCTCATCAGAAGAGCCTGGATTCTCAGTGCTCATGAACTCCTTGCGAGGATCTTTGACTTTAACAGTCATTTGGTCGCCTTTTAAAACGAAACCTTCTGATTAGAGGTCTGGGAAAAGGGTCACTAGGACTTGCTTGGCTCTGCGGTAATACTCCTGGCTTCCTCGGCATAGGGACCTTTGCTTCTCTGTAGACATGGATGAGTGGAGGCATGCTCTGAAAGGGGAGTTCCTCAGAGTTCCATCATCAAAAGGACACCCCCTTTTCTCTTATTCTCATTTCTCTCTGCGGGGTTCCTCTTTGTCATTTTATCCTAAATGAATAGCAGAGTAGGAGGGACATTTTCTCGCCTCCTAAGAGTAGCTATTTTTGTCACATGCTGGATTTGATTCATTCAGATCGGTGGCATTCTCAGCAAAATGAGTTCAAATGAAGACAGCAGAACAACCAAGGGAATAGATAAAAATCTGATGAGAGTTTCGGTTCTTGGGAGGAGTGGTCACTCTTGTGTCAACACTTAAGGGCAAGCAGATACACATTTCAGCAAGACTTCTGGACACTTGAAGGTCTTATATGCTTCTAATTTTGTTTTAGGACTGTCTAAGTCCCCAAATCAAAGTGACAGTTGTTATCTTTTTTTCTCTTAGACAGAACACACATGTTCCCATGGAAGAGATTAGGAATAGATTACCTATTCTACACAGGAAGCTGTTCAGTCAATCAGTGTGTTTTCGACCTCACTTCTCAATCCTGGTTTTCCCAGACTTGTGTACAATGAGATTGAGTTATCCTCCTTCATGTCCCGATATTCATACAAAGTTGGAGTGCCGCTTGAACTTCTAGCCCCTACCCACATGCTCTCTAGCTTCTAGAAATCTGTCGAAATCTCTCTTCCAGAAAGCTGTTGATTACAAAATGATCACAGTGTATTTGCCACAAATCAATGCTGGGGTAAAACTGAATCCGAAGAGATCTGCCTCTTGTTCCTTTCTGTCATCCACTAACCTGATTACCACTGTGTTTCATTTCTGTCTCTTTCTGTTTTGAGGTTTTTGGTGAAGATACTCCTGAAGAATTGTTCGAGGTTGTCACTGCAAAAATGGCCAAGTTGATGGCCGCTCCTCTTAGCGCACTTGTTGATGAGCCTGTGCACATCCAAGTCACAGGCCTGGCACCTTTTCAGGTGGTGTGCCTCCAGGCATCCCTGAAAGACGAGAAGGAGAATATGTTTGTTTCAAAGGCCTACTACAAGGCCAGTGAAACGGGGCAGGTGGACCTGGAGCGTGATCCCTCACTTGGAGGAGACTATATGGGTGTCCACCCCATGGGTCTGTTTTGGTCCCTGAAACCAGAAAAGCTGTTGAGTCGCCTGGCGAAAAAAGATGTGAATATCCCCTACCAGGTCCACATAGAACTTTCCGAGCCACACTTTCCAATAAAAGGTATTGTTGTCAGTCCGCCGATGGATAGCCTGACTTTGGAAAGATGGTACGTGGCACCTGGTGTCACAAGGATCCCGGTGAAGGAAGGCCGCCTCCGGGGAGCCCTCTTTCTGCCCCCAGGTGAGTAGAGTCACTCTGACAGTCGTCAGATGCCTCGTGCGGCTAGAAATTTAGCTGGGAGAAGGGTATTATACAGCTCTCACTGTCCTACCTGAGAATCCGGGTTAATTTAGGCTCAGAATAGAATTGGGTGGTATTCTGCTCTAATTCAAGTTTCATTTCCACCATTCTGAAGCTTGTTTGAGATTATGACTGTATATTGTGGAGTTCTAGCATTGGGAGGTTTCTGATTGGCTGAATGTAGGTTAAGTGTAGTTCATTAGAGCCTGGCTGACTAACGATTCCCACACAGCAGGTTTTAGGGGCTATATCACGCTAACATTCGGTTTTAGTATTGATGTTTTACTACTTATTTACCATATTGGATATGTAGAGTCTCTTGCATCACATGATCTGCTGGGTCACAAAGGAGCGATGAGATATGTTTGATCACAAAGAGCTTGAATTAGGTGTGGAAAGATTTCAGGTCCTTCATTGTTCCCTTCCTCCCCACTCATCAGAAGACGCAACTTGATCTTTATTAATGAACTTGCATGCTCATTTCTAAACCAAGATATATTGTGTCTTCTCATTTCTCACACTAAAGGAAGCACAGCCATTTAAAAACTCACCAGTGCCCCTTCACGTGATGCCAGCTTTTAAATGGACATGGCCAGTCTTCCTTTTCTGAAGCCAATTTTCACGGCAGGGACAGTTTGTGACAACCACTGTGGGTGGGCTCTGGTTCACTGTAGAAGCGCGCTGTCAACACAGAGTGACCGTGGACTGACGCCCTGACATCCCTCTTCTTTCTCTGTACGCTAGGCTACACGCAGTAGAAATTAATATAAAAAGAAAGAGCTCCTCATGTCCCTCTGATGTCATGGGAGGTTTGATCAACTCTTTCGTCAGTTAGTGGTTAGCAGATTGTAACAGAGTAGGGTGTTTACCATCTTTTGTTTCCTAGTGCCTGGGATGAGCCCTGAGACTTAGACATGTTAGAGGCAAGTGCCTAGGGACTGAGCTACTGAGCTGCAGCTCTTACAAGACGTGTCAGCCAGAGCAACCAATAAAGGCATCTTCGAGCTTTGTAATCCACTTACAAAGAGAGAATCTTTGTCTAGCTAGACCTTGTGAGGGCTCACCCTCAAGGACATGAAGCTTTCCAACTGGATCCCCTTCTTAAAGGTTCTACGTCTCCCAGGTAGCCTTTGGATAGCCTTCACCAACCAGGAGCATTTCTCACAGGAAAACACATATAAACAGAGTATTTTTCATCTAATTTTAGAACCTTCATAGATTTCCTAAAGCTTGTTTGTGAACCCTTGTTTGGTTAAGAAGTCCTGGCAATTTTTTTCCCCTGATTTTCTTTACTCAAAAACGATGGGAATAGCCCCTCCTCTAGGCTTCAGGAATTAAAGATGTCAGTGCTCATAGTTTATAATAAAATACTTAGAAGTTATGTTTCATTATATATTAAGAAGACCTTATTTTTGCTTCAGATACAAGGCTGAACATTTGGATGTTTCATTAGAGAATTTGTGTATTAATCCCAAGATTTAGTTCTGCCTGTTGGCTTTATATTCACGTTGTCTTTCCCCCTTATTTTCATATGTGACCTGTTTTACGTTGTTCTTTTCCAGGCGAAGGCCCTTTCCCAGGGATTATTGACTTGTTTGGGAGCACTGGTGGACTGATCGAATTCCGGGCCAGTCTTCTGGCCAGTCACGGCTTTGCGGCCTTGGCTCTGGCTTACTGGGGCTATGATGACCTGCCCTCTTACCTGGATAAGGTAGATCTAGAGTATTTTGAAGAAGGTGCAGAGTTTCTCCTGAGACATCCTAAGGTAATTTTAGGCTCATTGTGTGAATACATCCCAGTGTTAGGTTAACTGCAATGCTGAATGACTTGCCTTGATTTCGAAACTTGAGTCCTCCGAGGCTGTCTTCTTTGCTACAAAGAACAGTTGTCTTTTACTCTTTCTGGTTTGTACGTTCCATTTGTAACTAGTGGCTAAGATTCCCCTCCCACCCTCTGTGTGTGTATAAATGTATATTTACATATGTGTATATACATGTATATATACATGCATATACTAGAGAGGGATATTTGTGTACAGGTTTCTGTATGGGGAGGATGTGATGGCTCATGTGTGTGTGCATTGGTGTGTGTGTGTGTGTGTCTGTACATGTTTGTGGTGGACAAAGGTCAGCCTTAGGCATTGTTCTTCAGGAGCCATTCACCTTGGTTTGGAAACAGGACTCTCACAGAGGCTCGCAGATTCCCTATCAGGATAAGCTGTCTGACTCGTGAGCCTAGGGTCCTCTTGTGTACATCACCATAGGACTCAGAGTACAAGCAAGCGAGCATGTCTGACAATTTTCCACAGGTTCTGGGAGCATAGCTAATGTCCGCCCTCATCCTTCCAGGGCAAGCCCTCTCCTGACTGAGCTACCTCCACAGTCCCAGAAATTGTATGTATTTACATCTATGAACAACTTGTGAATGTGTTTTCCAGAACCAAAGTCTAAGTCATCTATCCCCAGAGTTCTAGACCACGAGAAAAAAACAAACCGACAGCTGACATTTAGTCCACCACCAGTCACTTCTCTGGAACACACAGAGTTCCTGATCAGCAATTCTCTGGTCCTGTCCTCCAGGGCACAAGATAGCTGTGTTTTAGGCATTGATCAGCATCGGTGTCTTAAGATCGGAAAAATTGTCAAGAACACAGACTTTGATCTCTTGATTCTGTGTTATTTTTCATGAGAAGAAAATAAATCCACAAGGAGACCATACTGGCCTTACAACAAAGACTAAGTAGATATGTAGCAAAAGACAATGAGCTCAGACTCATCAAAATGCATCCTCTGAGAGTGGATACATTGCTTTGCCACACAAAAATCAAGGTCATGTTAGCTTTAAAATTGTGAAGAGATGTCTTTTATGGTTAGCTAGCACGCTTCAATCACTCAGCATATTACTCTTTATTGCCTCCGTTTTTAATGTGTGAACATTCAATTTACAGCCCATTTCTTCCGAGACTCTTTGATCCTGCTGGTCTGTCTGTATACATTGTGAGAGAATGTGTGATATTCTAATAATCTAGGTCTCTCCACGGACCTCGTCTCCTGCCTTTTCATTGCCTTATAAAACATTACTCCTTTGCTGGGCGTGTTTGATGAGTGACAATAGAAAGTGTATTGTGACAAGCTTTTCTGAAATCTCCTTCTGAGATCAACGCTTTCCAGTCAAGCTCCATGTGCTGCCCTAGCTTCTTTTCACTCTTTCCTCTTTCTGGAGGAAACTCAACTCCTCCGTAAGGCAACTCACTCATTGCCTGTTCCCTGACCAATGCTATTTACAATAACACATTCACTTTGTTTGTTTTCCTGACTACACCCGTCTTGTTATTCTTGTTTGTTTGTCCTGTGGAGACTACTGCATGCTAGGGAAGGGCTCGGCCACAGACCTGTATTTCTAGTCCTGGCATAATATTTCTTGAAGATATTTTAAACTCAGAACCAGGCATAATGTTGAATCCAATATATCTATAGTAACGCTCAGTTAAATAAACAAACCGTGTTCCAGAACTCCAACTACTAGATATGTACTCATCTGGGTGGGTTCTTTAACTTTTATTTTTTTTTAAACTAGCCCGTTACTATTCTTTGTTGAAGTTCTTGATTATTTCCTAATGAAAGAATAACATCTCATTATTATTGTTTTTAGGTCTTGGGCCCAGGTGTTGGCGTCGTCTCTGTATGCAGAGGAGCAGAAATTGGACTCTCGATGGCTATTAACCTAAAACAAATAAAAGCCACTGTACTTATCAATGGGCCCAACTTTGTTACTAGTGATCCACATGTATATCACGGTCAGGTCAACCATCCCGTACCATGCAATATAGAATATGTCATCACCAATGCCTTCGGATTCGCAGAGTTTTATCGAGCCTATGAGGAAACTGCAGATAAGGATAGCAAATATTGTTTTCCCATTGAAAAGGCGCAGGGACATTTCCTTTTTGTGGTGGGAGAAGACGATAAAAACCTCAACAGCAAAGTCCATGCCCATCAAGCCACAGCCCAGCTGATAAGGAGTGGGAAGAAGAACTGGACCCTGCTGTCCTACCCGGGGGCGGGTCACCTGATTGAGCCTCCCTACGCCCCCTTGTGCTCTGCCTCAAGGATCCCCTATGTGATTCCAAGCATCTACTGGGGGGGAGAGGCTGTCCAACACGCGGCCGCACAGGAGCATTCTTGGAAGGAGATACAGAAATTTCTCAGGGAACATCTCCTCCCAGATGTGAGCAGCCAGCTCTGAGTGGACTCGATGGGATTCCTGGGAAGTAGAGCTGTTTATCTCCTGACCAGCACTTCTCGGTTTCCCTAGGATCTCTCCCTAGATGACAAAGGAAGGTATCACAAGAAAATGCAGGAGGGCTGAGAGTGATATTATCTTGACTTTGGACGGGAAAAAAATATTTCCCATGTAATGAAATGCCATGAAGTGAGAGTCCTACATCTGTATAAATGAAGTCTTAGACCCAACTCTCCTAAAGTTTTCATCACGATAGCAATTTTCTGTAATAATAATTAGCAAGGATAAGCCGCAGAATACTATGCTTTACAAAAAGAACCATTAAAAGAATTATTGTTATTCAGTAATTTCTTAAAACTCACACTATAGATACTTAGATCATCCTTATTGATACTGGAAATCAAGAGACAGGTGTTTTAATGCATTGTGAACGATTGACTGTATACAGGCGCAATGAATCGATTTACAAACAATTTTAACGAATATTAATGCATCACTGTTACCTCCAAACCTTTGCAACGTTTCCGCACCCCCTGTAACAAGAAGGGAGCAATCTGAGATCTACTTCTATGCCGATAAGAGAAGCAAGCGTGATGAGGACTTCAGCCTCTAGAGTACGGGGTCAACATCTTTGTTTTGTTTCTGTAAAGGACTATGCTGTGAATAATCTCAACTTTTTCATCTATGTCTTCTGTCTGTCAGTATGTGCATTCTCCTGTGATAATAAGGAACATGTGTAATGAAGATGATGTCTGAATGCCAATTAAACTTTTAATCCTGCACATTAAAATTTACGTTTAATAGTTTTGTGTCGAAAATAGTAATTTTATCTAAAGCTTTTCAAGTATTGCACATAGAAATCACTGTTCATCCATGGGCAGAGAAGAAAATAGCTGCAGGCTCACGGGGCATAATTTCTAGAGTATTCCAAATGACCATTAGGCGTCTCTAGAAGACAAACCATGGCACAAATATTCCTGAGCTACTAAATTGCAATGGAGGGGAGTGGAAGGTTATTAACTGGTGGTTCATAGGGTGAAGATAACTATGTACGATTACACTTCGGATCATTTTTTGAAGCATGGTGGGGAACCAGTGAAGAATTAGAATAGCAGAAAGATGAGGACACTTCTCGTGTATCTGCCTGAATTCTTTTATTTTTGTCTGCCTTGGGATGCTTTCTCCTGTTTAGATAAAGCAAACAAACAAACAAAAAATATATTATCTGTGTCAGGTGGAACACCCTCTCACTTTTCACACATGTGGTTAATCAGAATACCTCAACTTGATTCTAATAACCCGGTAATTGCAATGATGGATACTTCCAACAGCGTGGTGTGTAAGACCACCATGGCAGGTGAAGTTTTCTTACTCCCAGTTTGGGGCTATACTGATGAAGTCTCTGCTTATAATGTATAATGTTGGCATTTTTATTTTCTGGTGTGTATACCCCTAAGTTATATTCTAAGGGATTTCTCTTAAATAAATTATCATTAGTTTTCTCCTTTCATAATTACTAGAATGTAATCTAGTAGCCCTCTGGATAACAAGATATGGTCACCACTAGTATCAATTGTTCATTTTTATTTTCTCTCCTTGTTCAGGTTTGTACTTAATGTTGGTCAGATGAACTCAAATGTGACAGGATAACTCAACAAACAAGCGATAGAGAACAGATATATTTGGCTGACAATTTCAGAGATTTTAATTTATGGTCACTGGTCACTGTGTCATTGGGTCATTTGGTGGCTCAATAGAATATGATGCCCGGGAACATGTGATGGAGGCAGCTGGCTCATGCCCTTGCAGACATGAGAGGCCAGGAACTCAATGTCCCTTTGAAATTCAAAGGCATGACCCGGGACCTACTTTCTTCAAAGAGACTGTTTCTCTTAATAGCTCGTTGAGTATAAACTCATCACTGGATTAATTTTTTTTTGATGAGGTTCACATTCCCATGATCAAGTCACCTGTTAGCAGTGCTGACAGTTGGGGCCCAAGCTTTCAACACATGAGTTTTTGATGCACGCCTGTCTTAGTTAGGGTTTCTACTGCATTCGAACAACCACCTTCCACTCCCTGACCCCTGTGAGCTTGTAACAACATCATAATGCGAAATTCAATCTCTGTAAGCCACTATAAAATAAAAATTAAGAAACAGATCACATACTTTCAAGATACAATGGCACAGAATATACATTACCATTCTGGCTTGGCAAACCCTAGATTCTGCGTCTCCGTGTCTGATGTCAAAACCCTCTTCAGATCTCCAACTCCTTTCAGCTTTGTTGACAGCAACACACTTCTTTGTTTTGGGCTAGTTCCACTTCCTGATAGCAGCTCTCCTAAGCAGGTATCTTACAACTCTAGCGTCTCTAACACGGGGTCTAAAAGGCAACCCTGTCTTCAGTCACACAGCTTCATACAATGATTTCTCTGGGCCTCCATTCAGGGACCCCTGACACATGCTTTACCTCAGCAGCTTTCGTTAGTCATGGAGGAATATTCTTTAAGTCCTTTCTTCTATCCTGGACTCCAAAGCCAGAACTATGTTGCCGAAGCTGCGAAGTTCTGCTGCTTGCTGGGGGTGGAACATGGTCTCTTCATTCAATTACGTCTTCTCCAGCTTTCTGTTTTCAATGGTTTCCGTCACTGCCTAAGCTTGGCTGTTCTGGAACTTGGTCTGTAGACAAAGTTGGCACTTGCCTGTCCAGTACTGGGATTAAAGGCGGGCACCACTACGCCCCGCTCTAAACTTCCTTTAGTTCCTTTTCACAAGTTGGAAATTTAGCTGGGTGGAATCTTGCCCTGAGGCCACTACTCCCTTTATTCCATTTCTTAATGGAATCTCCTTGAATATAGGATTTAGCTCAATTCCACTTTCTGGTGTTACTTTTCTCCTCAGATATTTTTCCTTGCTCAACCTGTTCCTTTTCATTATAAATCTTCATTAGAGTTGCCCCTAATAACCACGTGATAGAGTCTATACTAGGCTGTTTCAAGATTGCCTCTGCTGGTAACCCAGACCAGAAAGGCAAAACGTGACATGTACTCACTCATAAGTGGATATTAGATATAAAACAAAGAATAACCAGCCTGTGGTCCACGGCCCCAGAGAAGCTAGATAACAAGGAGAACCCTAGGAGACATAATTGGATCCCCCTGGGAAGGGGAAATAGATAAGATCTCCTGGGAAAATTGGGAGCATGTGGGAGGAAGGGAGGCCAGAAGATGAGGGGGGGAGAATATGAGGGAATGGAATGGTTGAGATGGGCGAAAGACAGAGAAGGAGAGCAAGGAAAGCGATATCTTGATTGAGGGAGCCATTATGAGGCTAGTGAAAAACCTGGCACTAGGGAAATTTCCAGGAATCCACAAGGATGACCCCAGCTAAGACCCTAAGCAACAGTGGAGAGGGTGCCTGAATTGGCCTTCCCCTGTGATCAGGTTAATGACTATCTTAACTGTCATCATAGAACCAACATCCAGCACCTCATGGAAGCAGATGCAGAGATCCACAGCTAAGCTCTGGGTTGAGCTCCCAGAGTCCAGTCCAAGAGAGGAAGGAGCGATAATATAAGCAAAGGGGTCAAGCCCATGATGGAGATACCCACAGAAACAGCTGACCTGAGCCAGTGGGAACTCAATGACTCTGGACTGACAGCTGGGGAACCTGCATAGGACCAAACTAGACCCTCTGAATGTGGGTGACAGTTGTGTGCCTGGGGCAGACTGTGGGGCCACTGGCAGTGGGACCAGGATTTAACTAGTGCTTGAACTGGCGTTTTTGAGCCCATTCTCTTTGGATGGATACCTTGCTCAGCCTAGATATGAGAGGAGGGCTTTAGTCCTTCCTCAAAGTGATGTGCGAGCCTTACCCTTTTCTGAGGAGTGATTGGGGGTGGTAGTGGAGGGAAGATGTGGGAAGCTGGAGGAGGCTAGGGAGTAGGAACAGGGATTGGTACATAAAATGAGAAAGATTAAGAAAATGATTTTTAAAAAATCTCAAAATGCCTAATTAAAAAAAAATTCCTCTGCCAATGTAATTAATCTAACACTTTTCACTTTAACTACGGGCAGACTTTTTGAACAACGACAAAAAGCAGCCACATTCTTCACCAAAATATCACAAGGATGATGTCTAGGCTACACATTAATGTTCTTCTCCTCTGAAACCTCTTGAGCAAGGCCCCCATAGCTCATCAAATCACACTCAGCACCATGCCTTCCCTGGTCCTACTAGGGTGGCCCATTAAGCAGCACTTAAAGCATTCAACTGCTTTCTTTTCCACACTCCCAAGGTCTGTATTCCTTCAGGCGCAGGCATGGTCAGACATATTACAGCAATAGCCCAGTCCCTGGTACCAGCTTCTGTCTTAGGTTTCTATCGCTATAAAGAGACACCGTGACTAAGCATTTAGTCGGGTGACTTAAAGCTTCAAAGGTTTAGTCTATTGTTACTATGTTCAGGCAGACATGGGACGGAGAGTGGAGAAGGAGCTCCATCTTTATCCCCGTAGGCAACAGGAAGTGACCTGATTAGCACACCGAGGGAAGCTAGAGCAAAGGAGACCTCAAAGCCCATCCCCACAGTGACACACTTCTTCCAACAAGGCTACACATGCTTTAACAAAGCCACACCTCAGAGCAATGGCACTCCCTATGAACTCACGAGGGCCAATTACATTCAGACTACCACAATCCAAACCACATCTTTTCTGAAATGTCACGGGCAAGACTTCCATAGTATGCAGTGTCAACCTGGCCTTCCAAAACCCCACCAGACAGTCCAGTGAGCTCTGGGTAAAGCATTCTAGGGATTTCTAAGCCACAGTTCTAAACTCTACTGCATTCCTCCTGCTAGTGAGTTCCAAAAGCCACGCGGTCATACTACAAGGTCATTTTGTTAGAGTAGTGGCCCCACTACTCAACACCAATTTTTGTATGGGCTACCTTTTTTTACCGTGACAAAATACTTGACAAAGCAACTTAATTTTGATTTGATCTTGACTCATGGTTTAAGGATGCGGTCCACCAAGGTAGGAGTCACAGGCTCAGGAGCTGGAAGAACAGGTCATGCTATGTCTATAGTCAGGAAGCAGAGGGAGATTATTGCTGGTAATCTGCTTGTTTTCTGGTTTTCATCCGGGCCCCAAGTCCAGTCCATAGAAGGGGCCACCCCCAGTAGGGTGGCTCTGTCTGTCTCAACTCAGTCTATGAACTCTATCTATCACAGACATGGCTGGGGGTTGTTTTCTAGATAATTTTAGTTCCTATCAAGTTGATAATATTAACATTACAGCTGGCAACCAAGCCTCCAGCACATGAAGCTTCAGGAAGCATTTCAGCTTCAAGCTTCACACTGACCAGGTAAAAGCACATACAGTTATATGGTACGATAATACCAATAAGTTATTCTTACATTTGCTGACTTCTAGGGCTTAGAAATATTTTAATTTTATGAATATACTTTTCTCTTATAAAGGTATATTTCAAGTAGCATTATAAAATGTATTTTATTGAATTGCTCATTCTCTTGGTTTATTAATTTTACATTTATAATATTGTGCACTAATCTTAATTTACACTTTTATCCAAGGTCCCAAAGCTTAGACATTAAATATGCAAGTGCGTAAATATTGGTGTCTCCCTAAAATTCTGATGTTGAAACCTAGCCACCACATTAATGGTTAAGAGATTGGGCCATGATACTTGTCTTATTTAGACTAAGGAGCTGCCCTCTCTGTGAAGTGCATTCTGGGTTATGGGGGTTGAGTTCAGGTCTACAGCCTGAGAGGACCAAGGAGAGGCTGCAGCTTGGCAGAAAAATCCCCAGTTACCGTCTCTACAGAAGAAAAATCTGCTCCCCTGCCACCACAGCACAGTGTCCTGCCCACACGCATCCACCTGCCTCATTCACCGTGCAAAGTGGCAGAATTGAAGGCACTATGTGTTTACTGGATTTTGCCCTTAAGACAGTAAAGATACTAATGTAAATTTTTAAAAATCTAAACTTAGTTTCAGTGTTCTTGAAGAAGTGATCATTTTAAGTATTTAAATAAAGTTGATCTTTTTCACTGTACTGCTCCAAATGATTTCAAGGCTAAAAGAACAGTAATATCAATTTTATGTGGGAATCAGGCTAATGAGAGAAAACAACCAATACACTATTCTGGTAAGCTGTTGGAAGCAAGAGTGGGCTTTTCAGTAAGTGATTAAATCACGAAGACTCTGTGGACACGGTACAATTAATGTCCGGACAAATAACGACGAAAGGAGCCGCTTTGCCTGAGCGGCAGACAAGGTGCTATCTGTGTCGGTAGCAGAGAGGCTTCCTCACCAGCTACTGGGTCTGCCAGCACCGCGATCTTGGACTTCTTAGTCTTCACAACCAGGAGCTGTACGTTTGCATTGTTGATAAATGCTCTTTTCCAGGGCATTGCATTCCAGGAGCCAAACCAGGGATAGAAACTGGAACCTCTTCAGTCGGAAAGAATACTGGAACTAAACCGGAAGAAGAGAAAGTAGCTGGAACTGCACAAAGTTTATAGACTGGAAGAATTTTCGAAATAAGCTGTCATAACAAAGACATTCAAAATGATTCTAGTGAAGGGTGACAAAAGAGCGCTGTGGGGACAACTTTAAGAAAGGACCTTTCTCTGTGGCCAGAATGCTGGTAGAATGATGCCTCTGAACGTCATTTTGATGAGGATACAGTGATAAGATGCCACTTATGGAGCAGAGAGCCTGCCTCCATCAGATGCCTCATGAGCCCTTACAGGTCTTGGACTTCTGAGATTCCAGAATGGTGAGAAATAATTTTCTATTATTTACACATTACCCATGCAAAGGTATTTTGTTAGACCTTTGGGGTCTGGTAGCCCCAAAGGACCAAGGCACCTTTGACACAGGTTCTTGGTTACCTTGCTCTATACAGCTGCAAGGCAGTCTGGGAAATGTAATGTTGCCTCAGAGAAACATAAAATGAACATATTTGTGGGAAACTCCATGGCTATTATATAATCCTAATACAGAAGAAACTTAACTTTCAAAGCACCATGTTCTTTAAAGCAGTTGCTATTGGAAACTATGCAAGTTACTTTCCTAGATCTGTAAGTTGTGAACTTGGAGGAATTTGTCATGCTCTGCTATAGTGTATTGTAAATTTTCCAGGGCCTTAGCCCAGACCAGCCAAGTCATAGCTTGCAGGTGTGGGCCCTAGCAGTGATTTTAAGAAACACACTCCTCATATAAACCTTTTTTTTCTCTGACTCGTACCACTGCAAAGATGGAAAGGGGAAATCCTGCTTACGAGATTATTGCCATAGAAGAGAAAAATCAAAAACAAAAGCAAAAAGGCCAGGGCCAGGAGATGAGAGGAGGAGCCAAGAAAAAAAGGTTTGAAATATCAACCTCCATTTTGGAACACCTCAGTTGAAAGGTAGCCAAGAAGAGAGCTCGCTCAGCTTTGACTCTGGGGACCTGATCAACAGGAGCTGCTGATGTCTTCCCTGGAGGCATCTGTGACCTTCACTAACAGGTTGCAGTGCTCTGAATGATAGACATTTGCAGCTCCAGGTATCTCTGCCGGGCTCCTTGGTTGTTCCTGAAGGACAAGCCATCCTGCCCAACGCTGTGCCTCTGAACTCACTGGGCCTGCTGGGAGGACAGGTTTGTATGTTTGTTTGTTTGTTTTCTAGTAGGAGACATTTTTATGCAGGGAGCTAGAAAAGCTGGCTGATGTTCTGCTAAGTGTGTTTCTCTAATTACACCTGGCAGCAGATTCTCTGAGGATCTAGATAGAAATCACCATAGTAGGTGGTTTGTTAGTCAGAAATGCAGATTTAAGTTTTTAGTAATGTCTATGAGGCAAAATGCACAATTTGAAGGCAAGAATTAGAATGTAATAAATATAAATGCATGAAGAGATTGTTAATTGGCTTTTTGAGAGATTGTTTTTTTATCCTGGAATTTAGTGCGTGAGTGCTTGGAAAAAACGTACCTGGAGTGAAGGATGGCGTGCAGTCAGAGATGCTTTGTTTTCTTTCATTGTTTGTTAAATCTTGGCTGTATTTCCTATCGAGTAACAGTGACTCCAATAGTGGAGGGGGTGCCTTAATTGCCCTTCCCCCTGCTATCAGATTGATGACTTCCTTAATTGTCATCATAAAACCTTCATTCAGTAACTGATGGAAGCAGATGCAGAGATCCACAGCTAAGGACTGGGCTGAGCTCCTGGAATCAAGTCCAAGAGAGAGGGAGAAGCAATCATATGAGCAAAAGGGTTAAGACCATGATGGGGAAACCCACAGAAATAGTTGACTTGAGCTACTGGGAGCTCACTAACTCTGGACTGACAACTGGGGAGCCTGCATAGGACCAAACTAGGACTTCTGTGGTGGGTGGCAGTTGTGTGGCTTGGGTAGTTTGTGGGATCACTGGCAGTGGAACCAGTATTTATCCCTACTGCAAGAACTGACTTTGTGGATCCTATTCCCTATGGAGAGATACCTTGCTCAGTCTAGATACAGGGAAGAGGGCTTTGGTCCTGCCTCAAGTGATGTGACAGACTTTGTTGACTCCCCATGGGGGGGTCTCACCCTCTCTGAGAAGTTGAGGGGTGAAGTGAGGGAAAGGTGGGGGAAACAGGAGGAGGGGAGGGAGAGAGAGAACTGGGATTGGTATGTAAGTAAAAAATGGTCTTCCTTCCTTCCTTCCTTCCTTCCTTCCTTCCTTCCTTCCTTCCTTCCTTCCTTCCTTCCTTCCTTCCTTCCTTTCCTTTCCTTCTTTCTTAAAGCAACAGTGGTCCCAAATTACAGACTTTAGCCTCTTAACCTTGGGAGCCTGGGCTTTCATTTTGAGATCGGGGATCAGCTCCACACGCAGGCTTTCATGTTCGGCTTCAAATTCTTCTGCGTCCATGCAGTGGAAGGCTTTTCCCCAGCCACAAGGCAGGGGAGGTTATCACTGCATGTCCTTTAACCTCTCTGTCCATATTTCGTTGCTACAATGAAAGACCCATGTCTGCCTTCTGGGGCAAATGATTCAGAACACTTAGAAAATTGATCCCATCTTCAAAAGCATCTTATAAAAATTCTGTTTGGCTCTTTATAAAGCCAGATTCTCTTTGAGAAATGTTCCTCCTTTTTAATATTCATTTTTCAATGTGATCCATTAAACATTTATTAACAGCTTTGTTCCAGGCACTGGGCTAGGAATGGATGCAATGCTAAATAAGGCATAATTTCTGCACTTGAGGCATTTATAAACTCTGGAGCAGTGCTGTCCAAAGGAGAAGTCATGATGACGGAAGTGTCTTTGTTTACATTGTCTAATATAGTAGCCACTAAACTATATTTGTTATTGAGCAGTTAAAATGGGCAACTGTAAGTGAGGAACTAAGTTTTAATTTCATATGTTTTTAATGAATTAATATTGTACTTAGAACATAAAGGGTAGAAACAGATAAATATATATATTTTTACTTTATTATTAATAGATAAGGATTTATATTTATTCTATTGCATGGTTAAGTCTGTAATGAGATGGTTGGTTAAACTGTTAAGTACACTAAGTTAGTTGTAAATTTCAAGGTTTTAATATAGATAATTCATATTTACATACATATATAAATTAGGCAGGATCTCATTGAAAATCAGATTATGAAAATAGAATATAAGAAAATTCATACAGATTAATCAAAGATGTCAGAAGGAGAAAGTTTTGAGGCTTTTTATTTGAAAGAGTAACGTCAACTTCCACGTAACACTAATGCTATTAATTAAAGGTCTTGATTGTCCACCCTCAAATTTTAGCATTTGCAATTTTCTTTCTTGCCCAGGGAAGCTAAACTATGTCTGTTGCCTCAGACAAATACGACACACCAGAAATAGGAAGGCGAAACTTTTCCCCAGCTTTTGAGTTGCAGGAAACTTCGTGGGGGAATATGCACTGTTGAAGACACATGTGGGCGTATATTGTTGGTTGATACTCGGCTGTTATTTGATGCTGAGCCTTACTAGCTGTTTGAGCTAGCTACCCACAAACTCTTGGGTTAGTGTGATCCTTCTCTTTCGTCTCCAGAGCTGCTGAAACTACAGGTGTGCACCCGCATGCTTAGCGGCGTTTTTGTTGTTCGTTTACTTTTGTAATGCAGTGTATGTAAACGCCATTATACTGGACAGGCAGCTTTTAGTTCACACAGTTCTTGTATTCCATCCAGTCCTGGACTCTATTTACAGACTTATATTACATGCATGTCTTCCTGGTAGGTATCTCAACTCAGCATATTTGCAAATCAGGCTTAGAAGAAAGCATTACCTGGGTACAAGGTTTAGCACTGGAGAAGTCAGAGGAAACTTCCCTAGGGTCCAAGAAAAAACAAAAGTACTTTAAATTCTGCAGTTACATTTTTTGCCACCCAGAGGAACAAAGGCATCAAAGGGAAATCATTTTAATCTAGAAAAGTAGAAAAGGCATGGCATTTTGTGTGTGTATAAGTCTGTGAACTATAATTTAATTATCACACATTTTCTATTCTGCCCAATGCCACCAGGGAGTATACTGAACTAAACACATTATAATAAGATAAAGAAAATCATACATTAAACATCAGAAAGCATAGAAAAAGGAAAAGGAGAGGAGGAATGAACTATCATGTCTCTATTCCTTTAGTAATCTTGAAGTTACAGGTTTTTTTGTGTATGTATACTTGTATGAGTCAAATTGCACGCATATATGTATGTGCTGTAGTGATTGTATACATGTAGGTGCCATAGTTCTCTCCTTTGGCCACATGGGTCTGGGGACGGAACTCAGTTAGCTTCGGCTGGAGGCAGGTGTCTTTACCTACTGAGCCATATCACTGGCCTCAAATTTCTTTTCCTGTTTGGGGAAAATGAAGTTTATGCATCGGGTCAAATGGCACGAGGTAAGATGTCAGTTTTCGAGTTCATAAAACCATGCTTTCTTTGAAAATTTGTTATAGCGCTTAGAACTGTTTAATGGACCTATCCAAAATGGGATAGGACAAATTACATGACAGCTACTGCAATGCCAAGAAGTGGGTTCTTTGTAAGGACAGAATTTTAGAAGTGTGGCATTATGAGAAGTATCTAAGATTGTAGTAATTCCTCATCAATAATTTTAAGAGAATTGACCCTGATTTCTACACTTCTCTTCCACATTAAATTCATCTTCAATATTACCTTATTGATCAGTTTAAAAAATACAAATACCACAAGATATGATATTAAAAAGCTCAATAAATACTAGTCAAAACATCCTGACCTTTTGTTAGGCTAGTGACAGCCTGTCTGAAAGTTGACGTGACCCTTCTCAGGTGTGGCCTATGTCTTGATAGCTTGGTTGTCACACCATGTAGAAATATGGGCCCACACTCATCTGCATACAACTGTACATAAAAGCACAATGTTCAATTGATTGAGTCCATTCTTATTTTGCACGCAAGATAGAGGCTTTTGATGGTTAGTGAACACTAGATGTACAAAGAGACACTAGGTTGGAAAATTTTGCCTTTCCCTCTCTATTCACTTCCAGTAAATTCTTCTTAACTCTGTGGACTGAACTAAGGGACTGAACCAACTTTATTTGTATAATTGAAAATTAGGGAGAAATTTGCATTCTTGAAATGATTTTTTTATGCACTGTCAATTAGCTGTACGCTGGCACTTTCTATTGCTATAAATATTGAAATTTTAAATCACGTTTTAAAAAAGCATTGTATTAAGAAATTACCACTGAGATTGAGGAGCCACACGTGCACAGAAGCTAGCTGAATCTAACCCAACCGCAGGTAAAAGGCAACCAGGAGACAGAGTAAGTTTAGACAACAAATTTAACCTCACACAGTCAGTAGCTCAGAGTCAGTTAGTAGAACAGAGGAGAGGATTCAGGAATTCTCTGAATTTTATATTTACAAGTTAAAATAAAATAGATCGTTAAAAATCTGCCCGCCAGAGATTAAAATGGCTGGCTGGGAGACAGAGACTGTGCCCTACCCCCTGCCGTGTGGCGCAGCTTCAACTGGAAGCTGAAAGACAGGTCTAAAGTAAGGTAGCCTCTGAGACCTGCAGCTTCAGGTCAATTAAAAGTAAATAAAAAGGTTAAATATGTTTCTTTTCCACTTCACAATTTTGCTTCTTTGTCAAAAATCTGCTGTTTGTAGGCATGTGAATTTGTAGCCAAGGTGAATTGATTTCAGTACTGTGGTTCTGTAGTAAAGTTTTAAAGTTGGAGATTGTGATGCGGTCAGAAGTTCCTTGATTGTTTAGGCTATCTTGAGTTTTTAATTTTTTCTTATAAAGTTGTGGATTGTTCTTTCAAGGTCTGTAAAGAATTTTGTTATAATTTTAATGGGCATTTACATTGAATCTATTGATTGCTTTCAGTGAGACTTGCTATTTTGGCTTTATAGAAGATCTTTCCATTTTCTGATGGCTTAAATTTCTTTCTTCAAAGATTTAAAGTTCTTATCATACAGGTTTTTCCATTTGTGTGATTAGAGTTATTCAAAGATATTTTATGGTACTTATGGCTATTGTATAGAATGATATATCTCATTTATCATATGTGTAGAAGAGGTGTATTTTGGGTTGTTTTCAGATTCTGGCTATGATAAAGTAATTCTGCTGTGAACATGATTGAGCACGTGTCCTTATGGTATGGTTGAGTATCTGTTGTATATAGGCCCAAAAGAGGTATTGCTGAGTTTTAAAGTAGTTTGTTGCCTGATTCTGAGAATTCACCATACTAGTGTTCAAAGTAGCTGTGACAGTTTACACTTCCACCAGCAGTGATGGATTTTTTTTTTTTACTTTTTCCCACATTCTCTTAAGCATGAATTGTACGCAGTGTTTTTAATCTTGGTTATTCTTACAGGGATAAGGTAGAATCTCAGAGTTCTTTTGATTTGCATTTCTCTAGTGGCTAAGAAGGTTATATTAGAGCATTTTTGAGTCTCTTTCAGTCATTTTAAGTTCATCTATTGAGAGTTTTCAGTTTAGGTCTGTAACATATATTTTTATTGGATTAATTGTTCTTTTGATGACTAACTTCCTGAGTTTTTTGTATGTTTTTGGAGTGGATTAATGGTTAGCAAAGATATATTCCCATCCTATAGGCTGATATTATGTCTTGTTGATTATTTCCTTTGCTATACAGAAGCTTCTCAGTTCAGGAGATCTCATTTACTGTTTCTCTTAATGTCTGTGCCACTGAGGCTGTGTTTGAGATGTGTCAATGCATTCAAGTGTTTACTTCTAAATTTTTCTTCTGTGACATTCAATGCGGTTAGCTTTATGTTGAGGTCTTTGATTAAATGGGATTTCAGTTAATAGAATAAACTATATATAGAGAGAGATAAATATGGATCTATTTTCATTTTTCTACATGTTGATGTCTAATTAGGCCAGGATCATTAGTTGAATGTGTTTTCTTTTTCCATTTTCCTATCAGCTAGGCACACTTTCAACTTACGAGGAGGATAGTTACAAACTTTTAATTATGTATTTAATGGTTAAAGCCTTAGTTATAATATCCTTATTAGAAGATATTGAGCTACAAAATAAGATTCTTAAAGGGAGCAATGAGCCAATTTCCAATAGAGATCTTATAGAAGCTGACAGACAGGTACTCAAGCAGATAAAGTATAGACCGATGGGTAGAGTATACAATAATCTGCAAGTACAGTATATTAATTATGATTCTGCTATAACAAATGTGTGTATTAAGTACAAAACTTATTCTATTGCAGTTTTATGAAAAACAGAATGCTTTTTACAGCTGCATCTTCTCATTTTTGCCAGTTAGGATATTAAACTCTTAATTTAAAACAGTAGCTTGTCTAATACAAAAGAGCAGGATGGGATCTAAGAGATAGTTTAACAGAATAGTAACTGTGATCAATGTTTCTTATACTAATCAATAGATTAATTAATAATTTTAAGATAGTGATTCTTGGGCAATTGTATTTGCTCAATTCAAAGGTCAAAAAAAAAAAAAAAACCTTTCCCAGAAGATTGTCGCTGCAATTTGCACAACTATATTTTGCTAATGTTATAGCTAAAGATCCCTTAAAGGATGTTATGTAAAATTTTTACAAATGGCTTTTCCAATGGAAGAACTGCATATATGGTTAATAATAAAAAGAACTGTGGAGTGTGAAATGGCTCCTTAAAAGCAACTTATAAACGTTGCAGACAGATGTGCTACAGACATATCTGACATGATGACACCAAGGTGACCTTTGCTAAGGCAAGATAAAAAAGCCCTCGCAGTGAATTATAAAAAGACCCGGCCTATGTGTGGGGTCGAAGATGTGTTTATGTTCTTTTTTCACAGAAAGAAAATAAAAGCTGAATAATATGACTATATATACAGTAAAGAAGTGGCAGACCTGATGACATCACAGCTGCAAATGCCCCATAGAGGAGTTGGAGAAAGGAGTTGGAGAAGAATTCGTAATCCAGTCTTCCTCGCCCCAACAGAGAGGAGTGCCTGATCACTGGACCTGCTACCACCACTCCACACTGCAGGGTGCCACCCTGCACTGAGGAACAGATGCTGAGCTGCTTCCAGACACTTGGGAAACACACAGACCGCAATGATGACAATTTTCTGCAGCTTGAATCCTGTTTGTTTTGGAACTAAGATGCAGGCTGAATATTTGAGTGTTTTTAATTACTGGGACACAGAATTCATTTTGGTTAAATAATGAACCTAAGAACTAAGACCTAAGTTTTCCCCTCAGGGGAAAGAAAGACTCAAAATAAGAAGTGACTAAAACCCCTCTTCACTTAAGAAGGGTAAAAGTTTAACTGCTGCTCAGAGACAGAAACTGGTATTTAATAATAACAATATCATTGTTCTCTTACCTATCAGAAAAGCTTTTTTTTTTGTCTTTTGGTTAATGTGGATTTAAGAAAATTATGACATGTTTAATTATTGATTCATTGTTGTGGTGACCTAATAATGATAATATTTCTAACTGTATATAAGATGTTGAGAAAAGTTGGTAGTGACCAACAACCCTGAGAATCATGGTACTGACCTAAAGAGATTTGGAAATGTTGGTATTGACAACAATGCTGAGAATTATGGTATTGGCCTGTCAACTGCTGAAAAAAGTTTGACACACCCTATAAATGTTGGGAGTTAATACATATGTTAAGAATTTTAGATTTTGATACAACGTAAAAGATTTAAGAGCTGCGCTAAACTAACTGAAGAAGCATTGTCAACCCAGGTGATTCTCTTCTCCTGTAAATAGGAGACTGTAGCCTTTGGGAGCGTAATTATTCATAAAGCATTATAATTTATCCTGACAAGAAAGTATGGCTCTGAGATACAGGGCCCAAGAGTATCTTTCTCCATTAATATCTTTTCTTCACAAAGATCAGCAGTCAATGATGGGTTTGAAGCTTCTCCTCAGATGCCTAAGATAGGAGCTTGCATATATGAATGCCTGTTCCAAAGATGGGAAAATTTGGGTAAATGAAGAGGTCTTTGCCCAAGCCAGGCATGATAGTTCTGTCCTATTGCAGAAGCACAGTCTTTATTAAAATTAATAAGAGAGAGTGGATTGCAGGCCCGTATCTCCACATGGTATGGCAGCCAGGCTATCAAGCCATAGGCCACACCTGAGAAGGATCTCGTAAACTTCCAGACAGGCTCTCACTAACCTAACAACAAGTCAGAATGTTTGCTCCTTCCATTGTCATTTGGAGGACGCCTGATAGAGATGCTGATTCAAACCTACGTGACAGCTAGCGTACACAACAGACAGGTAGTTGTGGATGGGACTGAAAGCCATACACTTGGTTACCTAGGAGACAGAATGCTAATGTATGTCCCCTAAGTTAAGTTTTGGTATAAAGATTGTTTGGGGAATAAACGAGAGAAAATTTTCAGGGTGTGAACTCAGGATATCATAAGCTATCTCTGAGAATCTCCCTCCCGATGAAACCATGTGTTTATTTCCATACCTCCATGCCAGTCCAGAGAGATAGTTTATGTTGGGGTATGGTCGGGAGAAATAATTGAGGCTCTGTGCTAGCATCGGACCCCGACAGATGAGAGACCTATAGAGAAATCACTAACAGGGCTACTTAGACACTGTCCATCATTGTGAATGCCAGCATCACAATCAGATGAATATGTGTCCCTGCCTCCCTACACTCATATTAAAAGCCCCTGCAGAAACCCTAGTGATATTTTTGAAAGACTAACATTCTTCAGACCCTTAGTTGAATCTGAAGTGTATAAAGTATTAGTGTGTGTGTGTGTGTGTGTGTGTGTATTTGCATTTTAATCCCGGATGTTTTTGTGTGCCTGTTGAATCTCTAAGAGGGTGTTAAGTAATGAAAGAACAATAAATAGACCTGGATTATATGTTAGGTCTGCCAAACTGATAATCGTTTTCAGAAAGACAAACCCTAGAACATTGGCTTGAATTCCTACCACATCTTTACCGACATACACTATGCCTTACCCACTGTGAAGGTGCCTTTGTTTAGCTCGCGTTCCAGGTGTTATGATTATAGGGTTACCAGTCACATGAACCTTTGCATTCTTTGCTGGTGGGAAAACCTGAGACACCATTCATCTGCATACTCAGTTGGCTGATCGACAAGCCCTTCTCTGTTTATTTCACACGTTTGCTTATTTCAAAGCCACGTAGTTCTTCTTAGGACAACGTCTACATATAACGTTTCACTATAATTTAAGTCCTCCCACTTACCTCAGTGTAAAAGGTAGAAATGTGGTCTTAGGAGAACACTGGCCATTATATGTAATTCCTGGTAAGTCAGAATCAGTAAATTAAAGTATTAAAGTGTCTCCAGAAAAAAATTAAAAGAAAAAATATCAACACTCAATAGCTGAGACACAACAGCTATATCTCTAAGATAGACATCAACAGACTATAGCCTTCTGAGACCCATCTCCTTGCGTCTCTTTCCTTTTATATTTACCTGTACAAATTTCTAAATGAGAACCATTTCTCCAGGGCTTTATCGGAAGAGGAATTATTCCATTTCAAAATAGCAAAGAATAGGCATTGAGCAAAAATAAAGGGAGCTTTGCTTTTCTTCCAGTAAATTTGCTTGCTTATTATTGAGGGATGTGATCAGAGCAGTTTGAAATATAAACTTTCCAGTAGATATACTGTGCACTATGTTTAGCATGCCACTTGATATTTTTCAGGGCATCCTAAAAAAAAAAAAAAAACAATGAAATTAGAAAACTCTATGTTTTGTGGCTCTGTAGGTAAAATAGTCAGCTCTCAGAATCAAAGTAAAATATTAAATCAACAACCAGTCAAACCTCTCCTGTTCTCTAGTTAGAAAGACGTAAATCCGGGCTGATACTATTAGGAGGTGTGGCTTTGTTGCAGTAGGTATGGCCTTGGAGGAAATGTGTCATTGTGGGGTGGGCTTTAAGGTTCCCTTCACTCAAGTTATGTTCAGTATGGTACACAGTTCACTTCCTGTTGCCTGAGGATCAAGATGTAGAACTCTCAGTTCCTTCTCTAGTACCATGTCTGCCTGCATGTCACTATGTACCACCATGATGATAATGGACTAAAATTCTGAAACTGTCTACCGGCCCCAGCTAAATGTTTTCTTTTATAAGAGTTGCCATGGTCACGATGTCTCTTCACAGCATAGAAACCCTAAGACAACCAAATTATGTGTATATACATATACACATATACATTTGTGTGTGTGTGTGTGTGTATTAGAGAGAGAGACAGACAGACAGACAGAAAGACAGACAGACAGAGACAGAGACACAGAGAGAAAAACCAAGGTCTTACTTACTATGTGACCACTCAACCTAGCCTGGAACTTGCTATGTAGCCCAGGCTGATCTCAAACTTGTGTCGATCCTCCTGCCTCTACCTCTCAAAGAGTGGGACTGCAGGTATGCTTCATTATGTTTGACTATAAACCAAACAATACTGAGGTAAATATTTTCTCTCTTAGTTAGTCCTAAGGGGTGGAACACTGGTTTCATGCCCAAGGTCTGGGTCATTTTTGGAAAGAGGACAATTTCATACTTTTCCAATTAAACCTGCAAGAACTAATCATTATGGAATAATCATTAAACTGCATGAATATGTCACTCTGATTGGTTTAATAAAGAAGTTGCTTGGCAAATAGCTGAACAGAATAAAGTTGGGCAGGAGAGCCAGACTAGGAGAATGCTGGCAGGAAGAAGGGCAGACTGAGGAGTTGCCATCGTGACGCTCAGGAAGCACGACGTGTAGAAAATGAGGTAACAAGCCATGAGCCCTGTGGCAGAGAGTAGATAAGAAATGCGGGTTAGCCGGGTGGTGGTGGCGCACGCCTTTAATCCTAGCACTCGGGAGGTAGAGGCAGGTGAATCTCTGTGAGTTCGAGACTAGCCTGGTCTACGAGAGCTAGTTCCAGGACAGGCTCCAAAACTACAGAGAAACCCTGTCTCGAAAAACCAAAAAAAAAAAAAAAAAAAAAAAAAAAAAAAAAAAAAAAAAAAAAGAAACGCGGGTTAATTTAAATTTAAGAGTTAGCTAGTAACAAGCCTGGGTTATTAGCCGAGCATTTATAGTCAATATTAAGACACTGAGTGATTACTTGGGAACTGGCAATTGTGGGAAAGAAACGTTCACCTAGCAGGGACAGATCTCTGAAGAGACCTCTTCCTCTTTTTCCTTTAGTCTTGCCAAGATGTTTTTAATTTTATTTTATTGGAAAGTGTAACTTCCCAGGCAGCAAGATGACTCAGTAGGTTAAGAGTGCTTGCCTTCAAGTCTGATAATCTGAGTATGGTCCCTGAGATGGAAGGAGAAAACTGGCTCCCATGGTTTGTCCTCTGACCACATATGCACCCAGGCATGCACGTGCAAGCACACACACACACACACACACACACACACACACACACACACACAGAGTAAATAAGTGTGATTTTAAAAGTCTAATTTTCTATCTTGCTATATTCAGTCTCCTTTCAAAGACGCTCTTCCTCCTTCTGACTCCAATTCTGTGTTCATTTAAAATTCTTTTACCAGGAAAACCAGGGACCTTTAAAGGGGACTCGGTGGCCCTAGTTACATCACCACTGTGATAGATTACTTATTATTTGATTAATTTAGACTGGAATGGGCTGGAGAGATGTACTGTTTTGGAGCTGTATCCCATGTGCCACCTCCCTTAACACCTCACAAACACGCCACGGTAGGAACACTTTCACAGTATTAATGTCCAGTGTTTTCCAAACCACAAAACTACAGTGTTGTAATAGCCAAGATATGAATCTCAGGGGTCATATCTCGTTTGAATCACTGTTTTGCTCCCCATTACTTACCAGATTTCACCAGGCCATTTAGCTCAATCCACCAATGTAACATACAACCAGTGTTTCCTCTCTGTTCCTCTCCTCCCCTTTCTTCCTCTCCTCCCCTCTTTTCCTCTCCCCTTTCCTCCCAGTTCTACACATTTTATACTAAAGTTCTTCGAAGTTTTATTTGATCAGACTCAGACAGCCTTGCGTCGGTCTTTCCTTGGTCTTTAAGTCTCCAACCCAGTTTCGTCTCTCACAGCAGTGACAAAGCACCGCGTGGTCCACTCACCAGCTTGCCAATGATCCAGCTCATCGTCACTCCCTCAAATGCGCTTGCAGATGAGCCCGTGTCCATCCTAGCAACTGGTCTGCCTCCACTGCAGTTAGTGACCATCAAGGCAACACTGAAGGATGAGAAGGGGAATCTGTTCCAATCCAGAGCCTTCTACAGGGCCAATGAGGCTGGCGAGGTGGACCTGGAGCGGGCAGCGGCCTTGGGGGGTGACTATGTAGGAGTTCATCCAATGGGCCTCTTTTGGTCTCTGAAGCCCAAACGGCCTTTCCAGCGACTGATGAAGAAAGAGGTGATGAACAGCCCATTTTGTATCACTCTGGACCTGTATGACTCTGTTGCCTTGGAAGATTCAGCCACAATTAGACCCAAGGCCAGTCAGATAGTGCAGCGCTGGTTTGTAGGCACTGGGGTTCAGCGGAAGGAGATCCGAGAAGGTCGCATACGCGGAGCCCTTTTTCTCCCTCCAGGTAAGAATAATCTTCATTGTTATAGAAGATATATTTTTTTTCTACTTGTGACCTCTTTTTTTGCTGTAGTGAATTTCATTTTATTTTTTTATTTTACATACCAATCCCAGTTCCCCCTCGCTCCCCTCCTCCCACTCCCTTCACCTTTCCCCCATATTACTCACCATGCTCTCAGGAGGCAGCAAAGTCTGTCAGATCACACTGAGGCAGAAACAGGCCCCCCTCCCCGCCCCCCTGCATCTAGGCTGAGCAAGGTATCCTTCCATAGGGAATGGGCTCCAAAAATCCTTACTGTAGTAATTTTAGCATGACCCTGGGTATATAAATATATGAAATAGGTGTAGAAAACAGACAGTTACCAATAATAAAGCATAGAAAATGATTTTGAAAACAGTTCTTTGGTGTACACATGATTTTATCATCTATTAAACAAGAAAGCAAATTTGCGCATTGATGGGATGAATGGGCTTACCTAGAATTAAACTTTGGTTGAATATATGAGAATATAGAGCATGGTTAGATTATCTTCATTGTTTTCCAGGACTACCTAATATTTTTGTTTTCATAGTTGTCAATGCTAAGAAATCTGCTTCACATAAATATGCAGAATGGCATAGGTATGGTATGCTTAATGCATTTAAAAACTTGTCATAATTTATCCTCATTCTAAATCAAAGTTCATTTAATAAGTTTTTATGAAACTCAAGATAGTAAGTCAAAGAGCAATTTTCAAAATTAGACATTCCAACAATATACAATCGGAATATTGTAATTTGACACAAGCTGAAGAATGGCAAGAGGGACACATTAAAAGTCCTTGTTTTCTGTCACTAAGCCACTAGGCATCTATATGAACAAAACCCTGCGTGTGTCGTAAAAACACCGTGGTTCCTAACACACAGCAAATCAACTTGACTCTGAGTCCCGACGTTTGAGGCCGCAGCTATCTGGGATCAGTGCTATTCCAGCACACGTAGAGAGGTGTGCCTGCTGTTCCTTCAGAACCAGGGAAAAGTGAAGTCTGGCAGGCATCAGCAGAAATGCCTTGGGACCACTTCTCATTTTTTATTTTGAGTTAAATTTTGGCCACTGAATGTTCAAATCATTTCCTATTGTCAAATTTCTCCCACACTCACTTATATGGATCCATACGGATCTGCAACCCCAGTTTCAGAAGCTGCACTAGAAATAACAATTCAGATGAATTAAACATGCACTCTCATGTGGATGTGTGTGTGTGTGTGTGTGTGTGCATGTATCAGCTTGTATGAGAGTGTGTACCAGCACCAATGTGTGCCTGTATGCAGCTCATGTCTTTGTTTTCCCTGCCGTACTTAACTCTCTTTTGATCCCATTTTCTTGTTCCTTTTTTCTCCCAGGAGAAGGTCCTTTCCCAGGAATTATTGACTTGTTCGGGATTATTGGAGGTCTAATTGAATTCCGCGCCAGTCTTTTGGCTTCCCGTGGCTTTGCAGTGCTGGCTTTAGCGTACTTTGCCTATGAAGGCCTGCCTGACAAACTGCTGGAGACCGACTTGGAGTATTTTGAAGAAGCTGCTGATTTCCTACTAGCTCATCCCAAGGTAGTTAAAATACTTTTTGATTCATCTCATAAAATCATAGGATTAGACAAACCCACAAGTGTCTGGTCTAATCAGTACAGCCTTGGGCAGCGCACAGATTACATTTTAAGAATGATAGGAGAGTCGGGCTGATTAGTAATTCCTGTTTACTGGCACACAGAAGACAATAGATACACAGAGCCCATATTGTGATTCTCTTCAGTGGAAAAAGCCAAGACGTGTTACATTTAAAGCTCTTGTAATACGTTCGTAAGTGGCTCTTCAGTGTTCTATCTGCCACCGATGCTGAACCCTGAAGTTGACGTTTTCACACATCAGTGATGGTCTCTACGTGATATGATGCTGGCAGGGGTTACACGAAAGGATCTGAGACTCAGACTAATGCAGGAGTTCAGTACGGGAGTTGAAGCCCAAGAAGAGAACAACGTAATTAAGCAGCAGAACTGACTTGGTGCAATAACCCGATTTCCTGACCCAGCTCTTCAGTTATTTTAAGAGCTGGGAGTGGGTGGACAAAAGTAACTAACCAATGACAGGAGCTAGGCTCAGGAGAGAAATTTGGAAAGGAGGGGGTCCTTTTAGAAGACATGGTTAAATATCTCTGCAGCAATGAAATGGGGGCCATGGTCCAGTGGCCTCAGCATCACCCGAGAGCTGATAGAAAGGCAAAATTCCATTCCCTAATTAATAGTCAGCATTTTGTGTTTCTTATACACATTCAAATTTGAAGACAGACGAGTACACCTCATAACCTACCTTTTCTTAGGAAATAAATACCAATGGAATTGTGACTTAGTTCACTTGGAAAGGTGCCAAAGTATTGATATTTGTGCTAGTGACTGAAGAGACACAGAAATGTCTCTTCATTTGGTATGGACCATATGGTATCCACAGAATTGAGATTTGAGATACTACCTAATTTAATATTATCTATCATTTTGTAGATAAACAATGTTCACTCAAATATTAGATACATCTGTCCAAGCGAATAAAGGTAAAATAATAAAGGCACAGCTCTTACCCTTGCGTTTGTTCAGTGACTATTAATCACTACACTCACTAGTAATATTGGATATGCACCATCCCATCTAACATTCCATAGACGCTTCATAGCCTATATACCAAGGTTGAGCATTCTTAACTTAAGAATCAAATATGAAATTTAAAACATTTGAACATCAACACAAACCTCAAAAAGTTATTTTGGACTACTGTGTGGATTTTAGATTTCAACAGTGAAGCTTATCTGCCAATAGAGTCTGTGCAAATATTTCAAAGTCTGAAAACTCCAGACCTGAAACACTATGGCTCCATACTTTTCAGATTAGGACATCTCAACATCTGTAACAGCAGTGCTGCTCTTTCCTCTTCTTCTTCTTCTTCTTCTTCTTCTTCTTCTTCTTCTTCTTCTTCTTCTTCTTCTTCTTCTTCTTCTTCTTCTTCTTCTTTCTTGTTTCTCTTCCTCCTCCTCCTCCTCCTCCTCCTCCTCCTCCTCCTCCTCCTCCTCCTCCTCCTCCTCCTCCTCCTCCTCCTTCTTCTCTTGGAGTTTTTGTTCTAGAATTTTCAGGTATCCTGTTGAATCACTAGTGTGAGAGTTCTCCAGTTCTTTATGTAGGCACTTAGTGTTATGAACCTCCTTTTACCACTGCTTTCAAAGTGTTCCATAAGTTTGAGTATGTTATGCATTCATTTTAGTTGAATTTTAGGAATTCTTTAATTTCTTTCCTTATTTCTTCCTTGACCCAGGGATAATTCATTTGAGTATTGTTCAATTTCCACGAGTTTGTGGACTTTCTGCAATTAGTGTTGTTGTTGAATTCTAACTTTAAGCCATGGTGATCCAATAAAATACAGGGGGTTATTCCAATTTTTTTTTTGTATCTGTTGGTATTTGCTTTGTTACTGAGCATGTGGTCAATTTTAGAGAAGGTTCCATGAGTTGCTGAGAAGAAGGCATATTCTTTTGTTGTTGGGGGGGATGTTCTATAGATGTCTGTTAAACCCATTTGAGTTATAACTTCTGTTAGTTCCTTTATTTCCAGTGGTGAGAGAGAGTTATTGAGGTCTCTCAATACTAGTGTGTGGGGTTTAATGTGTGATTTAAGCTTTAGTAATGCTTCTTTTACAAATGTGGGTGACATTATATTCACGGCATAAATATTAAGAACTGAGACTACATCTTGATGGAGTTTTCCCTGTGATGTTTATAAGTTGTCCTTCTTTATCTCTTTTGATTAATTTTATTTTGAAGTATATTTTGTTGTATATTAGGATAGTTATACCAGCTTGTTTCTTAGGTCCATTTGATTATAAAATTTTTTCCCAACCCTTTACTCTGAGGTAATATCTGACTTTGAAGTTGAGGTGTGTTTCTTTCATGCAGCAGAAGGATGGATCTTGTTTTTGTATCCATTCTGTCAGCCTTTTTTTCTATAGATGAATTGAGACCGTTGATATTAAGAGATATTAATGGGCAGTGATTGTTAGTTTCTGTTATTCTGAGTTTTATTGTTGTTATTGGTATTGTGCATGTGTTTCCCTTCTTTGGGTTTTGCTCCTGTAGGATTATCTATTGCTTGTGTTTTTAAAGTTGTAGCTAACTTCCTTGGGTTGGAGGTTTTTTTTCTAGCACTTTCTGTAAGGCTAAATTTGTGGATAGATATTGTTTAAATCTGGTTTTGTCATAGAATATCTTGTTTTCTCTGTCTCTTCTGATTGAAAGTTTTTCTGGATATAGATATAGTAGTCTGGGCTGGCATCTGTGGTCTTTTAGTGTCTGCAGAACATCTATCTAGGACCTTCTGGCTTTCAGAGTTTCTATTGAGAAGTCAGACACAATTCTGATATGTCTGCCTTTATATGTTAATTGATTTTTTTCCTTTGCAGCTGTCAATATTCTTTCTTTATTCTGTATGTTTTGTGTTTTGATTATTATGTGGTGAGGAGACTTTTTTGGTCCAGTGTATTTTCTGTAAGCTTCTTGGACTTCCATAGGTGTGTCCTTCTTTAGGTTGAGAAAATTTTCTTCTATGATTTTGTTGAATATATTTTCTGTGTCTTTGAGCTGGACTTCTTATTCTTCTATCCCTGTTATTCTTAAGTTTGGTCTTTTTATGGTGTCCCAGTTTTCTTGGATATTTTGTGTTAAGAATTTGTTGGATTTAACATTTTCTTTGACAGGTGAATATATTTCCTCTACACCTAAAATATTTCTTCAACACCTAAAATTCTCTCTTCCATCTCTTGTATTCTGTTGGGTATACTTGCATCTGTAGTTCCTGATTGTTTACCCAGATTTTACATTTCCAGAATTCTCACACCTTGTGTGGTTTTTTTTTTTTTCAATTGCCTCTATTTCAGTTTTCAAGTCTTAAACCATTTTCTTTGTTGTTTTTTTTTTCTTTGCTTCCTTTGCAGGATTTCTTGATTTCTTCTAATTTTTTGCTTTTCTTTTCCTCCACTTCTTTAAGGGAATTTTTCATTTCCTTTTAAAGAGCCTCTATCATCTTCATAAAATTATTTTTAAGGTCACTTTCTTCTGCTTCACCTTTGTTGGGATATTTGGGTCTTGCTACTGTAGAACCACTAGTTCCTGTTGGCGCAATATTGCTCTTTATGTTATTGAATGTCTTCTATCCATTTCCCCCTTCAGTGGGTGCAGGTGGGCTTCTGAATGTCACTGATGTAACTCTGGGACTCCTTCAGGTGTAGGTGGGGTCAAGGCTCTGGTGGTCACAGATATCATGGGAGTGGTTGGGGTGTGGGGAGGCTGCTTCCAGGTCTTTGAGGCTTCAGTGGGTAGGGGTGGGGCACTGGGGCTAGGGCCTAGAGAGCAAGGGACCCAGACTCTTACTTTTCCAGGTGTGAAAATGTTTATTTATCTTATGTCAAAGTCTCCCCATGTAGCCTAGGCAGGATTGGAACTCAAAAATCTCTTATTTCAGTTTCCCTGTTATTGAGATTATAGGACTGTGCCACAACCCCCTATCTCTAGAACTCTGATGAGGTTTTATTTTGATTATTCCAAGGTAAGTGATACAATTGCTTCCACAAAATGATAAGCTCTGAATAGATGTTATTATAGGTAGTAGTCTCTGGATCTCACTAGTTAAAAAACCCAAGTGCCAGAATTTTATTGTTTTGACTGGCCGGCCTTCCTTCAGGAGAGCTTCTTTCGAGAGGACAACATGTAACCTGATTTCTTTTTGCTTTGTGTTCAAGATCCAACAACCAGGAATTGGTGTGATCTCCGTGTGCAAAGGTGCAGAGATCGGGCTGGCCATGGCCTGCTATCTGAAACAGGTGGTTGCCACTGTCTGTATCAATGGGCCCAATGCCATCTTACACATTCCCCTAAGGTATCGGGATCTTGTTATGCCACCCAGCCAATGGGTTCTGGAGCACATCCAAATTCATGCTTCAGGGGCTATGCAATTACGTTCCTTTATAGATTACTCCATAAATAGGTTGAACCCACAGAGTATACTTCCTGTGGAAAAAGCCCGAGGGTGGATCCTCTTCATTGTAGGAGAGAATGACGAATGTTTGGATAGCAAGGCATATGCACAAGGGGCTATGGACCAGCTGCAGAGCCATGGGAGAAGCAATGGAAGAATGCTGGCATACCCTGGAGCAGGTCACCTCATAGAGCCACCCTATTCTCCCTGTTGCTTTGCATCCTGGACCCTTGAGTCGGCTAACCCATTTCTTTGGGGAGGAGATACCATTGCTCATGCAGCAGCCCAGGAACACTCATGGAGGGAGATCCAGAAGTTCTTCAGGCAACACCTTTCTCCATCTGGAAGCAAACTCTAAGCAAAGGGTGTGACCATGCCCAGGTAGGGGTCAGGAAGTGAGTCGGAGAAGAGGGTGGAATTTGTGTGAGGATAATAGCATCAGTTAGGGATTGGAGGGTAGGGATGGGGAACAGTATTCCTTACATCACATTTATTCCCATTCAACTGGAAGAAAATGAGAGAAAAGACCAGGACACGTGTGCATCTGAGGTGTTTCTGATAGGTTTGCATGTCGTTTGAAATTTTATAGATTAAATTGGAATATATTGGTATTCAGAAATTATGATATTTTTGCAAGCTGATAAACACTGTTCATATATATCCAGTTAAGAATTCATTTGATCTAGGCATTTCCAATCCAAAATGAAGTCTCTAAAACTGCCAACTTCTTTCTACTACATTCTAACTTAAGCTGTTTTAAGTTGGATTTCTGTTGCTTGTAATGAACATTCTAGCATGTCAAGCATAATGCTTGCTGTAGATATCAAGTAGATAGCTTTTTTTTAAAAAAAAAGTAGGATGCTTCTCTTTATTCTAGGTATATATTACTACTTTAAATTAAGAATACAATTAAATTTAATCAAGAGCCATTGCAAAACTTATTGAAGCTGAGTGAGTTAACGCAAACAAGGCCTTTCGAGCAGTGTGCTATGGGATCTTCTTGTGCACTGCATAGATTTGTCACTCAAGTTGGTTTAATAACATTTTGATTGTCCTGCAGACAGGCAGGAAGTATAGGCAGGGCAAGCAACTTAAGGATGATGGGAAGGAGTAGGGTGGAGTCAGGAGTCGCCTGCCAGGTACAAAGGAAGCAGGAGATGAGTGTGTCATGCTAATAAAGGTACCACTAAGTGGAAGAGCATAAAGAAGAATATGGGGGGGGGTAACTTAAAATGAAGGAGTTAGCTAGTAATAAGCCTGAGCTATCAACCGAGCATTTATAAGTAATGTCTCCAAGTCAATTATTCGGGAAGCTGTCACCAGGTATTTCGGAACAGGTGGGGCGGGAGAGAAACGTCTGATTACAACAGCGTCTGGCAGATAGCTCTCAGCTATCAGTGTCAGCTCTTCTGGTTCTCATAGTGAGTTTTTCTATAGTTTCATGATGCTTTCCTCTTCCGTTCTCCTGGTCTGGTGAGTCTCGTTCATCAGTCACTACTTCTGTATGTTCATTTAGTTTGAATAGATAAAATTCTTGCCTTGATTAACAAGGATGCTCAGGTTTCTTTTGGAGCCAATGCCACTATTTATATTTCTACAGAATTTCATTTATTCTCTAGAACATTCTTTCTTCATATTTCATTTTTACATAGGCTACTATTTATCTGTTTTCTTTTTCCTCCCAGTCAGACTTACATAGACATTTCCCTATCTTACTTATCTTTTCAAATGGTGACTCTGATTCACTTATTGGTCAAATCTTTTAAAATGTATTTGTTAGTTTATTATGTTTTAAGTTAAATTAGTTCATGTTCCTATCTTCCTTCCTTCCTTCCTTCCTTCCTTCCTTCCTTCCTTCCTCTCTCTCTCTCTCTCTCTCTCTCTCTCTCTCTCTCTCTATCTTTCTTTCTTTCTTTCTTTCTTTCTTCCTCGTTGTTGTTTGTTGCTTCTGATATGTGTTGTTCTCTTTATTTTTATTTCTACTTTCTGTTCCTTTGTGACACAAAGGCAGTTTTACCAAAGTACAAAAGGCCACAGTGTGGAAGGGGCAGGAGAGGAGGAATGTCACTTTGCCATGGAAGGATTAAATAGGCCCTACCCAGACCCACCACTCACATTGGTCAGTAAAAAGGGACAGTTTGACAGGATGGACTTCATGGAAGAAGTCATGGGCATTGATGGTACTGCTATCATGGTCTTTACATGGTCTTTACAGTATGTTGAACTCTAGCCTAATCAAGCCTTTGATCATTTGCCAGCATTGCGGCAGGAGAGCAAGTTAATCATCACCATGAGTAAGCAAGTCCAAACTGCAAGTTATTATGTGGGTCGACTGTTCTAGAACTTCAGCAATTAATTTCATGGGTACCACTAAGTTAGGCTAGGAAAAGTAAGTCCAGGACTATAGAAGACTTTAAAAAATGCTCCAAAAGGCCTTTACCTAAGCAGAGTGACTGCAAAAAGAAATCGGGGGGCGGGGAGGGGGGATATAAGTTAAACATTTGTTTAACAGCTAACAGTGACATTAGTGCGATGTTTTGTTGTATATGTTTACATCATGGCCTGCCACTTTAAGTCTCTGTTCACGCAAAGAGACCAAGTCCCAGCCTGGAAAAATTAGGCCCCTACTCACTGAAGCCTTCACACTCCTTGCCTCTATCCTCCCGACCTCTGTAACAGATAGTTAAAAAAGACTATGTGGCCTCAGGCCTGCCCACTGCTCCTCTCTCTCCCTGCTCCTACACCCCCCCCCTCTGTAACAGACAATTAAGAAGACTGAAGCCTCACAGTCCCTCACCCCCAAAACTGCAGGAGAGGTATATGGCTCTACTGGGTACTAAGCATATAGGCTATGATGAAATGTTACATGAATTAAATCACATGGAATTAAAGTTCCCACCTGTCCCTCACAACTTAGGAAAACCGGGGTGGCTCTTTGTTTGGGGGATTTATATGGAACCTTGCCCATCGATAACAAGGTACCTCTCTGTTAGCATGAGCTGGCCCTCTCTAGTAAAGTGCCTCTTCAGGTTTGAACTAAAAAGCAAGCCTCCCTTGTCCTCTCTGCTAGTGTAGTTCATTTCTGAAGGGTAATTTTATTTCTGCTCTCTTTGTAAACCTGCCACTCCTTGAGTTCCAATAATATGTATTTATTCAGGAATTATCACACCAGGCTAATTTAAATATCACCTCACATACTGATGATGCTTTTGTACTGAATCTGTTCTCTTTGTGATTTTGATATACAAGAATGTTATTATTAACTATGGTCATTATGTTGTTGAAAATATCTCTTTTTTGTCTAATTCATATATTTAAGTCATTATTTTTCATTACTCCATAGAATAACTTGAATATGACCCATGTCTTCCTAGAGTAATTTGAATATAAATTAATATTAAATGATATCAAGAAATGACACTAAGAAATTGTTATGACATTGTTTTACGTGATGATGGTTATTATGGTTACATAAAAATTTAGAGACTTATATTGAAGTAATCAGCAGTGGCCAGTTTTGGTATGTGGGTATTATTATAGGAGTCAGAAATATTGAAAAAAATCAAAATTACTGCAAAAGACTTTGGATGGTGTCTTGAATAAGCTCTGTTATAATATTCTATTTGCCTTTATGTATGCCTGCACATTTTTCATAATAAAGAGCTGAAAATTGTATCTTGCATTTGTTTTTCTGCCTCCAAAGCAAAGTTATATTCTCCATGACACTCCTTCATTTACAGATCATTACTGTACTTTAAGAGTAAATAGTTATTTAACCATAGCTGTGACACTTATCCACTGCTACAGCCTTAAAAAAAATCTGGACCTTTGCACATCTTAAAATGTTTATATTTTGATCTCTTTAATAGCAGCTTTTATAGGTTTCGAATTTGATGCTAGCAACTACCCCCCCCCCCGCCCCAGTGAATTAGTCTGTTTTAGCACTTTATTTACCATGGGGAGCTCTGGAGGAAATGTGCTCCCCCCTCATCTTTCTGCCATGGTTTTAGTCAGCTTCCTGGGAAGGCTGTACATGTAGCATGCTATAGATGTCAACATATCAAACCTTGAGGTGAGGAAGCCATGTTGAGCACTGAGGAGCCATCTTGCGAGGGTAATGCTTATTCTCTTGGCGTTTCTCCACAGTGAGGAGCACGTGTGGCGTTTCTCAGCTTCCAGGGGAAGCAGAACTGTTTGGGGCTAATGTCCTGTCAGTATATCCAAATCTGACTTGCTTTTCTTTGCAGCTTTTCACTCATCACCAGGCTTCTGTGAGCCAGGGAAGTTAGATTTGGAAGCACTCTCCAGGGAGAAAAGTTTATTGATAACTGTCATCTGCAATACCCAATGGCCTTGGGCTCTATTGAGTCCATCTCCAATGGTGCTACTCAGTCCATATCCAATGGGCCTCAGGCTCTCTTGAGTCCATATCCAATGGGCCTTTGGCTCTCTTGAGTCCATATCCAATGGGCCTCAGGCTCTCTTGAGTCTATATCCAATAGGCCTTAAGCTCTATTGAATCCATATCCAATGGGCCTCAGGCTCTATTGAGTCCATATCTACTGGCCTTCAGGCTTTCTATTGAGTCTATATTCAATGGCCTCCTCAGCAATTTTTCATACTCTTCTGAGCTGCCTTTTTTTTTATGGTTATTGCCACCCTACTTCAAGTCACGGCACGCACGTTGCTCAAGAAGGGTAGCATCCTGTGGCTGGAGAGATGGCTCAGCAGTGAAGAGCAGGCACTGCTCTAACAGAGGGTCAAGTTTGATTCCTAGCACACATGCCAGGTATATCAAAACCACAGGTACCTGCAACCACCTGCAGATACCCCCACCCTCTACCTGCACACATACACATAATTCACAAATGAACCTCAGAAAGAAAGCAGTATCTTACTTGGCCATTACACCTCTGTTTTCTGACTCCTTTCGGTCATCCTATATACCAATGCAAATGGACACTTTAAAAACACAAGCCTGAAAAAAGTTTAAAAAACACAAGTCTGATGGTGGCATTCGTTTGCTTACTAATGACTTCTTATTACAGCAGGATATATTTCAAAGTTTGGAACAATAAGAAGACCTCCATGCTCTCTGACATAACAAATGTCTCTTACAACCAGTTAACAAATTCCATAATCATTAATTTTCCTTTAAGTCTTCATGTGTATAAAGTTGCTTCGTGCTTATATGCTTTCTCTTGGTTTCATGTTCTTGGATTCACTTATGTACTTTTTAACTTATGTGTTTCTCTGTGTGTCTGTGGGTATAGTCACATGAGTGCTCGTCTTCATGGAGGAAGGAGGCATCAGATCCTTCTGGAGCTAGGGCTACAAGTAGATGTGAACCATCTCTCTGACCCCTTGATATTCTTTTATATATGCACTCTATCTAATCATCCCTTATTTATTTTAAGTAGCTGCATATATGTGTCACTGCAGCCTCTTCTATCTTTCATTCACGCCCCAGTGTTCCCATCCAACTTAAATATCCCTTCAAGTCACTTTATATTAAAGGCATTGGGATGTTGGAGAAGAGCTAGAGGGACACAGGTAGACAAGAGGAATGTAACTGGGCTGCCCGGGATGACAGCTTTTTGTTCCTAGAAGTCCTTGTAAGAAAAGCATGGCAAGAAGGCTCATGGGTAGGTATCCAAAGAGGACCAACAGAGAAAAGAGGGGAACCCTGGGGCCTTATAAAATACTCAAGCCAGCATCTTTTTTATTAGACTCCCAGCTGTAGAGCCTCTTCAATCCTGAAGACATAAAGTGGTTGCTTTTGCATTTCTCACATAGCTCGGTTCTCTGTTTCCTAAAGTTCCGCTCTTTGTCCAAGGAAACACGCTTGGAAATGCCCTAGATGACCCCCAGCACCCCTGCCTGTTACATGTATCTTCTTTTTCCTTTCATTGACTCAAACCCATGAAAAAAAGCAGCTGGTCTACTTATTTTGCTGCATATCCCTAGTTATTAGCACAATTCTAAGTGTATAATAGATGTTCATTAAATATGTCTGAAGGCACAGATCAAAGCTGGCCCAGCCTGGATCAAGAAGCAGGATATCAGTAAAAGTTTTGGTGTTCATTACAAAATAGTCACGGAGTCTAGAGCATGACAGTAAGTAGCAGAATAGTTTTGTATTTACTAGGGCAAGAATAGTAATGTCAGCATGATGGCTGTTAGGCTGGCCTAAGATGGAGTCACCAGGGCATCAAGATGTGGGACCCAGCCCCTTCAGGAAAATAGAAACTGATCATTCTACACTTCTCAGAAGTCTGCTGCCCTCTAGTTTGAGCAGAATAGCTTGACCACAGCCTCCTGCTGTCTTAACAGCAAGAGCAATCCCCCCACACCCATAAAATGTTGCTTACTGCAGTCGCTTTTGCCTGTTAAAGTTTCCTTTTCCTCCTTAACTCTCTACCACCACACTCCCATCTGAAAGCACCCTATAAAAACTCAGACTCCTTTTGGCAGGACTGATTTCCTTTCTCTTGGGCACAGCCCGACAGTTGGTACCCTGCAGCCATAGAGACCTTGAATAAACCTCTGCTTTTTGACTCTCGTGGTCCAGTTCTCTCGTTAATCCAGACAGTGACCACAGGAAGTACACTGAGGACTTCCTTTATCTTTTAGGAAACTCCACTCAAGTGAAACCGGATGCTTGGCTCAGGGTGAGCCAGTATGAAGCAGAAATGAGGGGGTATTAAAAATCTCTTAAAAATGTATTATGTGTGTGTTTACAAGTGAAGATAGACGTGCAGAGGTGTCCCCTTGGGAATCAATTCTCTTTTACCATGTGGTTCCCAGAATTGAACTCTGATCATCTGACTTGACAGCAAGCCCATTTGACCATGGTTCCATTTCATCAGCTTTTGGAAGACATTTGAAATCAATTTTAGAACAGGTTCAAAAAGAGAGGTACCTTGGGAAGAAAGTAAGACATACTTAAGATCGTGGACTTCCCAAAGAGAATCACGTTATGTCTCTGTACAGTAGCTACATACGCTAGTATTGGTGGCTTCTGAAGTTACCTCTCAAGGGGCTACTAAAAAAATCTTTTTTCATGAATGAGCTCATAGGGTGGTTCTCCATATGTGCTGGATGGGATTGCAGATGCCGAGGGAAAGCCCAAGGCCTCTAGGGCTGCAGGGAAAGTTAAGATGTATTTACTGTAAACAAAGGTTTAATTTTATTCTAGATTCTCAAAAAGTATCTGAAAAAGGAGTCAGGCCAAATTTGGTCATAGAACTTCATTTTTCTTATTTTATTATTTATTTATTTATTTATTTATTTATTTATTTATTTTTAGTCTTTCTGTACTTCCTCACTATTGCAGCATTAGTGGGACCCAGTTCTTGAGATAAATTTGGAGAACTGGGTATTGGATGGGTCTGCCTTTAAGATATCACTTTTTGCAGGTGGTTATAGGGAATAAAGTCAATTTTTAAAGCCTAAATACCAATTATAGTTCTTACTAACTCATTCCAATGACACCTACCCCTTCTTTCAAGGGCAGATTAAGGATATTTGTTTTCTCCAAATGCTGGAGCTGCCAAGCCTTCCTGCCCATCATAGCCTAGTGAAAGGATCTTCAGAGCTCACCAAGGGGACACTCGCAAGTCATAACTGCTTGGGGCACATTCTTTGCCATTATTACCTCTGTATCTAAGCATGTCAATTTTTTAAAGCTATTTTTGGCCCCATTAAATGTCCCCTTATTTCCAAATAAACCACAGTCTCTCTTCAGCCAAGTCAGTGAAAAATCTGGTATCTATTTGTTGGGTAAACTTTAACAAAATGTTTTCTGTGTCAATTACTGTAATGGGCATGTCATCAAAGCATGGATGTCCATGAGGTTAAGTGTAGGGATACATTATTTATATTTTAACAAATAAAGTTTGCCTGAAGATGAGAGCGAAGGGCAGCCAGCAACTAGAGAGTTCTTTTACCTCTACCATTGTACAGACCTAAGGGAAGACTTTGTCCTCAGACTGCTTCAGACTGCCTGTGTCTCCACCAAACCTCAGACTGCACTGAGCTTCTGTCTCTTCTGCCTTATGTTCCTCTCTGCACCCAACCATATCACTCCTGTCTCCACTTCTCTCATGCTCAGATTAAAGGCATGTGACTCCCAAATACTGGGATTAAAGGTGTATGCCACCACTGCCTGACCTCCAGTGGCTTACTTCTGTGCTCTGATCTACAGGCAAACTTTGTTTAAAATACAAATAAAATATCACTACGGTTAAGAGTTTCATTGTTGTACAACATCAAACACTTTATTAGTCTTGTTTCTTTCCAATCCTCTTCTACAGTGAGCCTGACTTTCTCAGCCATTTTTACATCATAAAAAGAGGAAGAAAAATTCACCGCAGAATTTGTGTTTCTCTTAGCCCATAGTCACTGCTTGTTGTATTTGCACAGAGAGCTTTGTCCTTGGCAGCAAATGCAAATAGAGAAGTTTAAACCTGAGCACTGAAATCTCACAAGCTAGATGGAGGATAATGATCAATGTGAGGCCGCTGAAGCAGCGTAAGTGTAGTCAGAAGCACTACTAAAGTAATAAAATGAGTCATCCTGACACTGGATGGCACTACATTTAGCTCATAGGAGAGGAGAGATGTTGGCGGAGGTTTCCGTGCTGCCCGGTCCTGTAATAAACACACAGAAACTAT